TTTCTTATATTATCTATACGATTTGATTATCTATAGACATATATTCATCTAGTCAATTAAATTAAATTATATATTGAAATATTTAATATTATTGTCAGTTTTTTTTTTAAATGTAATTAACAAAAACCTATTGAAAATGTCTAGTTAGATTTTCGTTGATATATTAAGTAATTAGTATAAGATTATTATTTTTATGATTTTTATTTGTTTATATTTAATTAAAATAATGATAAATAATAAGAATAGATTTATTATAGACAAAAATCTATCTTTTTTCTTTTTCTTTTTCTTATTATATAAATATATCTTGAAATTAATTTTATTTATTATTTATCAATCGTCAATGGTTAATGGTCAATATTTTTCGAAATATTAAAAAAAAAACTGAACAAACTCAAATAATAATAAATGATATCTATATTAAGAATGAAATCTAATTTAATTGTTGTTTATTTTCAAATAAATAAAAGATAATTAAACAAAAAAAAAGTAAATTATGTTTATTGTGTTAAGATGATATAATCAAGAGAGAGAATAAAAAAAAGAAAAGAAAAGAAATTTGAATTTGTTTATTTAAGTATAAAAAAAAAAAAAGTGAGTAGAATATAAAGTTGATTATGATGAATAGTATCATTATTCTAGTCATAACAAATGTCTATTTATGTTAAATGAATAACTAGTAAGATGATTAATGTTACTTTTTATTGTGAGAATAATAGTAAAGAGTCTCTTATATATTTGACATAATCATCAACATACTTTAAAAAAGAATCATCATAAAATGAATCTTAGATTGAAGCAACACTCTTAACGACTATTCAAGGATAGACATTTTATTTCTTTTATTATATATAGAGCTCATTACATACACTCTCTTTATTTCATAACATTTCTTTTTTTTTTCTTCAACTCTATTTTAATGCTTACATTATACGAGTAACGAATAAGAATAAAAGAAAAAAAAAAGAAAAAAAGAAAAGATAGTTATTGTCATTGTCGATAAGTGATCAGTATATAGATATTGTTCGATACGGTAAGATGAACACACATATATACCTATTGCAAATTGAACTAACTATTTCTATTGGCGTCTTACTCGTTTTTTTTTTTTTTTTTTTTTTTTTTCTTTTAAGGGAGAAAAGAAAAAAAAGAAAGATTGATTGTTGTCGTTTAACCGCCGGTTGTCGATGTGTTCAACTTAATAAGAATAACAAAGTAAAGTAATAAGATAGAGTTAGTTATTAGTTCGATTTGTTTTAACGAAAAGTTATTTTTTCTTAGAAGTTATTTAGTAAAATGTTTGATTTTGTTTTGATTAATAATAGCTATGATGTAAAAGAAATTTCTTCTTTTTTTTTTCTCTCTCGTTTTAAATCGCCTCAGTCTAGTTTAAATGAAATGAGTTGATTATATTGTGTTGACAGACATATGCCAGTTGTTCGACATTATCTTAATAAGTCAACGTTTTTTTTTGTTTTTATAGACTAGAGAATATGTTTATCGTAGAAGAGGACAATTAACATATTCATCATTCAATAGACTCGACACAATACGAATTATTTATCGACAAGCGTTTTCACTAATTGACATCGTCATGAGATATCGACGTTTTTCTTTTCTTCTTTCTCAAATAAAAGACGTCTCTAGTTAGTTTTTTTTTTTCTTTCTTTTATCTTTAAGATTGATGACGACATTCAATGTTATTCATCTTAATAATAATCGTTCAATTGATCAATGGCATAAAGATCAATAATCAATTTGTTGAAGAACCAGAAGATGTTGAAACAATAATTGGATCAACATTAATTCTTCCTTGTCGAACAGATCCAGTTCATCAAAGTCAAGTTAATTGGTGTAAAAATGATTTTTGCACATTAGGAAAAACCCGAGATTTACCATTTTATCCTCGTTATCAAATAATTGGTCATGCTCATCAAGGTTTTATCTATCTTTTTCTTCTTATTTATTTTAAATAATTCTATTTAATATTTTCTTTTAAACAAAAGGTGAACATCATTTTAAAATAGTTAATGTATCATTAGAAGATATGGGAATGTATCAATGTCAAATATTAGCTGGACCTCGACGAGCTGGTTCAATGTCTCGAAAAGCTAAATTAACTGTTTTACGTATGTTTTATAAAAGAAAAAGAAAAAGATTTATTTAAAAAAAAATTCTCGTTTAGAAATTCCAACAAGTTTATCAATTGATAGTCCAATTGTTTTATTAGAAAATGTTTTATCATATATTGTATGTCGATCATATAATGGTATGCCTGAAGCAAAACTTTCTTGGCATATTCCAAAATCTTTAAATTATATATCAAAAAATGATTATGCTCTTTTATCTGGTCAATCATTAAGAAATTCAATATCAAATATAACATTAATAGCAAATAGATCTCATCATGGTTTAACAATTAAATGTCAAGCAGATTCATCAGCTATTCAATTAAATAATAAAACAATGATAACTCAAGAATATATTCAAACGATTTGTAAATTCTTATTTTTCTTTTTCTTTTTCTTATTGATTATTTTTAAAATTTAGTTCGACCTGAAATAAATATTAGTTTAATTGGTGAACAAATCGAAAATAATCTTATATATATTGAATGTAATGTTATATGTCGACCGAAATTAATTAATATAGAATGGTTTAATGGAAGTTCTTTATTAAATATAACTACTAATAATCGTTTACCAATATTATTAACAAGATATATGCATAATAATAATATTATTTGTCAAGCAACAAATCAAGTTGGAAAAGAAAATCAATCAATTATACTTGATATTATTTGTATCGAAATATTATTTTTAGTTAACAATAAATTATTTTTTTTTTTATTTTGTTTAATAGATAAACCAATATTTATAGATAAATATGGAAATGAATTAAAAAATATTTCAGTTCTATTAGTTAATGAAGGAGAATCAGTTGAATTGGAATGTTTGCTTGATTCATCTCCATTATCATTAATAAGTTGGATATTTAATGGAGAAATTCTTTCAATTAATAAAACAACATATTATATTGATTATTTTATATCAAATCAACATATTGGTTATTATATATGTTCGGCATATCATTATTTATTTGGAACATTTAATAGAACTATTAGAATTTCATTAAAAGGTTTTATTTATTTACTTTAAAAAACACGAATACATAAGATTTTTATTTATTTAAAAGGTCCACCAGAAATTATTGAAGAAAAACAAATTGATACTGTTTATATTGGACAATCGGTGACATTTGTTTGTTCAATTTCAAAAGATATTCCTATTCAGGTTAGATGGCTTTTTTCTTTTTATTTAATTTTGAGAGAAAAAAATCTTTTGTTTTTTTTTTGTATTTTGTTAAATTAAAAAGGAAATATATTGGTTACGAGAAGATCAATCAAAACTAAATTCCAATGATAAATATGAAATAAGTGAAAATGAAGATAATGATTTAATTAAATATAAATTATTAATTAAAAATATTTTATTATCTGATAGAGGTTCTTATATATGTAGAGGATTAAATCAATATGGTTCATCTCAAACGATATTTCAATTAAAAGTTAATCATTTAAAACATTTTTTTATTCAACGTCTTTTTTTCTATGGATCAATTATAATTGGATTATTTATTTCTGTTTTTTTTATTATTTTAATATTTATTTATCATTATAAACAAATTCGAAATAAAAGAATAAGAAAAAAATCTTCAACAACAGATGAAACAATATCATCATTAGCTAAACAACAAGATTTTATTCAACATGATTATCATCAAGATAACAATTCAATTATTCATCAATATTTAAATGATCAACAATTTATTGATAATCATACAAATGTAACATATTATCTATTTTATTTATCTTCGTTTCTTTTTTTTGAACTATTATTTTCTTGTTTAGGATGTATTAGATTCTTGTCAACATGATTTATTTTATTTAAAAAACAATCAAAAAAGATATTCAACTGTTGTTTAAATAAACAATTTAATTTATAAAGAGATCAATAAAATTATCTTTACTATTTAATAAGAATAATTTAATTCAACTTTTATTCAATTCACTTTCGATAAATAAGTGTCTCATTTTCTTTTTTTATTCTCATTGTTTTATTAATCATATTTCAGTTTTTTTTATCAGTGCTTTTTTTTTTTGTTTTCTAGAAAAGTGAAAATTTCATGTCCCTTTATTATAAATTGACTGTCGATTAAATAAAAAAAAAGAAAAAAAACAATATTAATTATGTAAAAAACAATGATTTGAACAATAATTTAAATATAACAACAGATTAGTCAACAAGATAAATCATTGAACGATAATCAATAATGAACATATATTCAATCAATGTCTATTGACCATCTATCATATTAGACATAGATATTTATAAGATTAACAAAGATTTTTCTTAAGCGTTTTTAGCCCTATGACCATGTCGGTGCTAAAGGGACAATAGAGCTCAAGAACTGTATGTACTGATAATAAATATAAAAAAAGGAAAAATTTGAGATAATCTAAGACGAAAGCAGAACCTGAAAAAACAAATGAAAACAGAAAAAGAATGAAAAGAAACATTTTCTCTTCCTTTCCTCTCCCCTGTATCATTCTCACTCTTCTTTTTTTCTGTCAGAGTGACCTAAGAACACTTGCCATTACAATCAATTATCGAATCCGATGTTCCATGAATTGCCATCTATTTTACTGCTTGACCGAAAACATCCATGTGTACTACAAATATTTTGGATCTACGTAGCGAGCGAATTTATCTTGCACCATCTTGCCAATTTGACCTGTGTATGTTTAGTTTTGATTGTTCATATAATAGATATCCATCTCTGAACTTCGACAGCCATTTTAAATATTTTTCCCAGCATGTATAGCAATGATCATCTAACGGGTGTTGCAAAAGTTCCTGGAAAAAAGTAGAACTATATATTTCCGCCATTCTAAATGCTAGAAGTCTTATTTCTTTTTATTTGAAAGATCTTATCGTCCTCTACAACAAACGTTTATAATGGCAAGTTGAAAAAACGCCATCAGTATACATTTTTCGGAGGTTCTTTCGAACATCGTCCATCATACGTTGTAAAACTGATATATCAGCTTCTTTCAATCTTTTTTTTATCCGATGTTCGAATTGTTTTACAGTATGTGCTTCCCAATTTTTTTTGTATACTAATTGAGCCAAGACACCCCAGAAATCTTCAATAGGACGCCCTTGTGATATATTAGGTGGATTATTGATTTTCGGTACGATTGGTACAGATATTGATTCCAAATAATCTAAAACTTCCTTTGAGTAATGAGCTTTTGAGAGGTCTGGCCAAAATAATATTTCATCGTTGCTATGGTGCTTTTCGATGAATGGAATCAATTTTGACTTAACACATTGATTAAGATAAATATCACCACCAATGGCACTCTTGCTTCGATGAACGTATGGTTCCAAAATACCTTTTGACGAGACAGCTAACCACAGCATGATTTTTGGTTCATATTTCATTTTATTCTTGTCCTTGATGTCAGGTTGTGCTATAGATTTGTCACTTGTATAATAATATGCATTGCCAGGTATATCAACATTGCTCAGTGAGAAATATTTTTCGTCGTTCATGACGACGAAACAATTGTTTGAAATTTGGCGATACAATTGGCCGCAGTTTCTTTGAGCACGTCGCTGTTGACCTTTCGAATATTTCGGTGTTTTTCGACGTTTATATATTCGAACGTTTATCCTTTTCTTTATAGTTCTTGAAATAGTTGATACAGATACATTATACTGCTTGGCAAGACATCGTTGACTAACATTACTCTTGTTGTCAATTTTTCGAATTAATCCCGCTACTTGTCTGTTGCTTAATTTGACTGGTCTGCCACTTCAAGGCAGATCTTTCGCCGTTTTGTATTTCTTATATCATTGTATTGTAGAATATATGGTACTGCTCTTCATACCTTGGTTCAAAAAGAACTTGACAGTTGTTTTAAGATTGCCACCTGCAGCATCGTTATAAAAATTTACAATGCATTTTCGAGTGTCTTCTCTCTCTTGGTTTTTCATTTTATCTAAAAGTAAAGTCAAGCTCATTCAGTTCGTGCTTTTTGTAGAGAAGGGTAAGATCTTTCGAACAAAAAAAGATTAACACTTCTAAGCTTTAGAATGGCGGAGATATATAGTTTGACTTTTTTCCAGGAACTTTTGCAACACCCGTTAGTTGTTTTTCGTTATCTATTGACGAAAACACGAGACCCTCCCAGCATTCGCAACGATAAATACGTTTCAAAAGTGTGAAATATAGATGGTTAAGATCAGCACACAGTGAGTCTGTGAATAATGGATAAAGTCCAAATAGCCACATGAGATATGGTAGGATGAATGTAGAAAAGGGTATGCGACATACTTGCGTAGAGGAAGTACTACTGATTCCGAACGAATTTACCAGTACTGTTCTTTGACGGACGGTTATTTGGGTCTTCCGATAGCATTTTCCAGACCGAATTTGGTCGTGAGCCAATATCCTAAGTACTTGAAAGACGAGATCCATTCTACCAAGTGATTACTGCAGCGAGCCTGGAGCATCGGATTTGGATATCTCACAGCTCTTGCGAAGAACATCGCTTAAGTTTTCGAGTAGTTGATCGCGTGTACTGTTAATATTGAGTAGTATTCAAGTTGATCCAAGAACGTTTGTAGTCGACTTTCGAGATCTACACATTGATCCGTAAACCGAATTCCTATTTGTTCTGCCAGTGCTGCTGCAAGATCATCTGCAAAGAAGAATGAAATTGCTCTCGGTAGAAAGACAGCCATATCACTATGGTATGTAATGAATAACGTCGATGTTAAACTGGCGCCTGGAGGTCCAACTCAGTTTATTTTGATCTATCTTGATTTTTTATCATGCACCTCGATAATTGCTTTATATTCACTAAGCCATGCTCGAATCCATTTCACGTTGGCCCACATAGAGGTGTTAGCCGATCATTTGATCGGTGATGGCGGCGGAAAGCTCTCGCCGCGGAGGCCGTTTTCGACGGCGGTAGCGACGACAAAATTTTTCCTATGTTATGTCACAGGGTCTTTCGTAGGTTCCTACCGTTAAGACAAACATTAGACGTTCTGTTCTCTTCTTAGTACGCTCATGCCTTTTTATGCAAAAATTTTTCTACTAGATGTAACTTTTTTTTATTAATTCAAAAAATTCACACTCTTCCATCATAAAATAACTTTAAACTACACAATAATAATTCATGATATAAGCCAAAATGGCAATAATGTGACTATCCATCTAAAATACAAATTAAATTCAAACATGATAGCTTAGGACTAGTACTGTATCTTTACTTTACCAGATAAGGCAAAGTACCTAAACTTTACTTTACCCGGTAAAGTCAAGTGAACATATTTTACCTAAAAAGTAAAGTAAAAAAAAAGATGAAGTTGTATGTTTTAAATTTTTTGGCAATTTCTTAGTACAGAGTCATGTATAAATAATCTTAGATCGTATCAAAGTTTATTCAATATCGTTTCGTCTTAAAATTAGTGTGAAAAGAAAATAAGTAAAGCCGAAAAATGTCGATTTTTTATGAATACATGAAAAATATTGTTTGGTTAACTTTACCTCACTTTATTTTCCACATTCAAACTATAGTATTTTACTTTAGTCTACTTTACTTTACTTTTTCAAAATGAAATAAAGATAATGTACCACCTCTATGGTAGTTCGAATTGGATCATAAGTGAAACTAACATAGAAATTAAAATTCGAATCCAAATTCAAATCGATACTTTTCTATGAGTTGAGAAAAAGAGCAAGATTTGTTTTTATTGATTATTCAAATTGAAATTACAACTATATATTTTTTTCTTTTTTCTAAACTGGCAGAAGAGTGTCGATTGGAATTCGAATCGCAATGTTAGTTACATTTATATTCGAACTCAAGCTAGATAGTTAGTCGAAACTGCATACTGAATAAGTCAAAAATTGCGAAACGGAGAAAATAATAGCGATGAATCTTTTGTGCATGAAAGAACAAGGCAAATGAGAATCTAATAAATTTGGTAGCGTCACAAAATCACAAGGAGACATATTTGCTTATCAGCTCGGTTTTCAGATCATATGTCATTCAACAATAAAAAATAGACCCCTTTCTATTTTTTAAAAGTTCTTTTGGTTTCAGCAATCTCTAATTGTCCCATAGATCAAACTTGAGATGTTACTGATTATTATCAATAAGTGATAGTTTAGAAAAAGAGGAAGCGTGAACTGTGACCTTTCATTCGATCGGCGGCTAACACTTCTACGGCTAGCGGGATTCTCATTTTAGTAAGCTTACCAAAACATCTATCGAACCACATCGATAAGTAGTAGCACATCGTGTTTGTAATCTATATTCAGCACCAAAACCCGATTGATTATCTGGTAGAACAGCTATATCTTTTAACACTTGCACAAAACGGTTGAGGAACAATCTTTCTTGTATTTTCAGAAACGAATCGAACAGTGAGATAGGTCTTGTTTGATTTGGTCCACATATAGCATCTTTCTTAGCGATTAATATCATTCTTACTTCTTTAAATTTCTTCAAGATGTAGTCTTCAGAAAATGAATATTTATACAACTACACCAGGAGATGCCAGTAGTTTCGAGGTATTTTATCAAGTATATATGGTGATAGTCCATAAATATCTAGCGATTGATTTTTCTTACGTGTTCATAGTGTATTAACTATTTCTGGATACGTAACCAATGGTATTGGTTCTAACGTTTTTTCCCATTGAACAGGCCGAGTGTCGACATATGGATGTGAACGTATCATGACAGGAGTCTCGAATAACTTTTCATAGTGATCGGCAGCTGTGTTAGCCATTACTTGTGCATTCTTTACAATTTCACCATTCGATGTCGGAAACCCCCATTAGTGCTGAAGACACATGACTGAAGTGTCTTGTTATTTTAATCCAAAATACCGTAGAGCCTTCGTCGGGTAAGTGTCTTTCTTTCAATTGCTTGGCCAATTGCTCCCGTTGGAAACGCTTTATTTTGAAACGTGCTAAATTATGTAGATGGCCAGTTTCTTTTCGGAGATCCATGTCACCCTTCTGCTTTGCTTTGAAAGCTAACAAACGACTTTGTGCCAGAAACTTCATAAACTCATATAGTACAGAAGGACGCGCACGATTAAAAGTAAAATATTGTTGGCATCTCGCATTAAGTAATGTAAGAAACGAAATGAAAACGATCATAGGTAATATTATATGATTCGAACTTTCACTCTTTTTTCCAATAGTCATATATATAAGATAATACTAGTGAAAAACAGGTCATATTGTTCGAGATTCTTCACTTGTTGGAACGTCCTCTGCTGCAAATACACCTGGCAGGGATTTATGATCATTACAGGTGTCACCTTTATATTTTTTGAATCATTAAATCCACACCGATGGTTACAGCATAATCAATAGTACGGTCTGAACGAAGAGATGTATTAGTATCAGGAACCACAAGTGCTAGAGAACACGAGTTCATCCATTCAAGAAATCGGTCTGCTATATCCAAGTCCAAGTTTTGCTTGCTGGTGCATAAAATACAATCAGTCTAATTGTTTGTCCACATAGAATATCGATGACGCAGATATTCGGCAATGAACAGGAAATTCTAGTAGCTGTGAAATATCTTGACGTAACATAACAAGTACACCGCCATGTGCGTTGTCACCAACTTAATAGAATACCCTATCATTAGATAATGCAACACTTATTAGAGAGAGAGAGCTCGACATGTCCCAATTCTCCTGGAACTATGCATATGTAAAAAGGAAGACAGATATTGTCCATACGATTTTTGATGCCGTTCCCATTATGATAATAGGTTGTTGAATGTACAGGGTTGCCAAAAATGTTTTTCCAGGGGGTACAGCCCTAACGACTAGTGATATGAACAATGAATTTTATACCAAACGAAAGCCCGTCAAAAATGGGGTTTAGGGGTATATTTTGATTTTCCATGAGAGGATGACGACTTGTAGAAGTGTGGAACTTCAGAAAATTTGAAGAATCTGAAACTAATAAAATGCTATTCCAAAGGTAAAATTCTGAGTAAAAACAGTTAAAGAATGATGGATATATCAACCAATGTTTATTTTTTATAAAGCTCGTACAAATAATCAATTATCTGTATGCCGACCGTTAGCTTTTTTGATAGCCTGTAATCGAGATGCATAGGAACAAAACAGGTTTTCAAAAAGTTCAGTATTTGTTTCCATACTTTCTAAGACATCGCATATGTGGTTTTTCAATGTTTCTTCACGATGGAGATCATTTCCGGTGTCAGATAACATTCTTGTCTCGACTTCATCCTTCAGTATTGTTCCAATGTGTGCAGCTGTATTGAGATCAGATGAATTTCCGGGCCATATATTGTTACCCCAAAAATTGATATCGTTGTCTTGGATCAATTGCTGGGTCATATTTGCTTTCGTGCATGGGGCTTTGTCATGAACAAATGTTACTTCATCCACGTCAATGACGTTTTCTTCATTTTTTAGGAAAGGAAAGACGTATCGGACCAAAATTGTATCACGAAAGTATTGACTTGTCCAGGATTCTCTTTTATCTTTGATTACCCAATGCAATTTTTTCGCGGTAAAAATAATGAAAATACCGATGCATGCTTGATTTTGTACCATTTTGCGATATCTTTCGTCCTCTTCAATATCTTCGATAGATTTAGCCCAAATCCTGTCATTTTGATGATTTGGCTTGCGAATACTCCAAACGAAAAATTCATCAGCTGGTGCAAGGTGTAAGAAGTCCTCCTGAGTCCAGTTCTTCAACCAGTCGCATAGCCATAGACGATCGGAGATATGAGTTTCTGTTTTCAATGGTTTTTGAACAACGTGGAAAGGCTTCAGTCCCATCCTATGTCGATAGTTATCGATCGTGCTTCACGTAATGATGTTCTGACTATCCTGCGATAATTTGAGGTTGCGACCACATTCAGAATAATCAGCAAAGCATTCATCGTATGCTTTCTCCCACCATTGAGTAACAAACCGGGTCGAATGATGGATTTTGTCTGCGATCCATTATCGAGTGATGAATGCTGCACCAGCATCACGAGCTTCACGAAAAGCAACGCACTTTATTCGATCGACGATTCTCTGTTGTTCATCGTCGTAAGTCCCAGCCATCGTACAGATTAAATGTATTCAATCAGCCTCAGCTAAATCACCAATCTACCATGGTCATAATTAAAAGGTACAAATGAAAGACACGATATTTACTTACATTCCAAGCAAAATCACTTCGTTCAAAGAGAGATCACGGTTTCCTTATGACTTTGATAGCGTATGGGAACAAAGAAAGTGAAAGAAACAGCAGAAAAAATAATTCGACTCGATATGATCGTGACGGATGACTATTTCTTCGTTCTTTTTGTGATAAAAATGCTATTCGCACATGCTCACGGGAGAGACCGGAAATAAATGATAAAGGAATGAAAGAATCATTATCTTGGACATCCAAGCAATGTGTTTTGAAGTATTGGGTAAATTCTCTATGAATTCTATGACGATATACATTCTCTTTTCTGCTGTATTACCTTCTATTGCAAAGTCGATACAATCGTAACTCTCAAAATTCTGAAACTTTTCTTAGTTCTATCATTAGTTCCTCTCTTATAGAAAATCAAAACATACCCCTAAACCCCGTTTTTGACGAGCTTTCATTTGGTATAAAATTCATTGTTCATATCACTAGTCGTTAGGGCTGTACCCCCCTGGAAAAACATTTTTGGCAACTCTGTAGAAGCAGTGTATCATTCATTAATAACTTCCAAAAGTAAACTAAATGCCTTTGGTATTAGAGAGTAGATCGAGCTTGATCTAGAAACCGAGTTGATTTAATGTCATATTTATAATGATCACTATCTGGCTTGGTCATTGTGTCGATTTTGTTAGGAACGATCTGACCTCTACCAATGTTTTAATTTGCTCTTGCCAATACAATTCCCAATTTTGTTCATGTGAGCTTTATGGATTCAATAATGTCGTACATATATTTTCAATTATTGTGAAAATTCTCACGGATAGATCTTCGAATTTCTTTTCCACTGTTATCACTTTTTCTTCTAATACTTCCACCTGTTGTTTTGCTTCATCATAACGATTCAGCATTTCTTGTTTTAATTCTACCAGTGCATGACGGATTGAGTTGGATTTTTCTTCGACGTTTGTTAAAATATTATTCAATTTCTTAAATACTAATTCATTTGAGTTTGATGCCGTCATTTTAATCACGTTGGCATACGATAGTCCACTTGTTGCAGTACTAGACGACGGGATGTTGTTGAGTACTTGATTAGAACTTGAGTTTTCCACATTTGCTGGAATCATTTTTGACAAAAGATTACAAGTGAGCGAAGCCCGATAGTCTTGCATCACTTTGCATTTTGAATCATTTGAAATGTGCGGTCCTGCACAATGGATATATTTTGGAACACTCGAACGTTGATGATCTTTCAGATTAGCACATTTTTCATCAGAAGTTTTGCATATTGATTCGTTCTTTTGAGGACAATTCTTTCTGAAGTGTCCTATTTTATAATAGTTGGTGCAGATCAGTACATTCGCTTGTGTAGAAAATTCGACGACCTTGAATTATTTAAATGTATAATTGTGATTTCACCGGCTTTCAGTATTTCTCTACGTAGGTTCACTGACAAAAATTCCAGTTTAATTGTGCGCATCGATTGTTGCTCTTTATTTCTTAATCTAATGATTTTGGCTATACCAGAGTACTTGTCTGTTAATTCCTAAAAATACTCGTTCGAGTCCATCTGGAATGATACAGCAGGGAGAACAAGAGCCAATTGTGGCGGAATATATGGTATTTTTGTTGTGTACTTAAAGCCTTCCAATGTCGATGGCCAGTTATCATAACTATGCAGGGAAGGCGAAGGATTCGCTATTCTCGACGAAGATCAAGATGTGACACTCGTTGTTTTCTCAACGTCCACGTCGATAGGCTACCATTTTTAATTCAAAGTTAAAATTTTCACGTACATGATTGGCTAGATCGTCGATCACAAGTTTTGTCACGAACTTCTTGCGATAAGATCACAGAGAAAGGTGACAATGCAAAGCGCTTGGTGGCAACACGATAAGCTGCTACTTTAGGTTGTTGTAGATTATCTGGTAACTGTACTATGGGCTGATTCATACGACGAAGACGTTTAATGGGAGTATTACTGAAGTTAAAAAATTCGAGTAATCTATGGATATTGAGGTCGCGCTTGAATATTCTATTCTGAAACACTAGTGGTGTCGTTGTGTCCTCTGTTGGTACTAGCTGATATTGACATTGAAGATACTGTTATATTGGTCATCCATGATGAAGGCAACTCCATAATATGAACCGACGGTTGGTATGTTGATAAAAACGCGTGTTATTAAGTCATGTTGAAATGTAACATTGGTTGTTGTGCACAAGCAGACATCATGTTGTTGTTTGACGATAATTGTTGTTGTTGAAGTTGATGATGAACAATTAGACTAGCTGCTGAATATTGTTTGACAATCTGGCTATTTGGCAATTGTTGCAAGCAGACGTATGGTTGAGTATTATTAATCGGTTGAATGTTTACTGGAGTAGTAAAATAGACCAATTGCTGTTCTTTTGTTGTTTCATTATTAGAAGCCAATGTAACATTATTTAATACTCTATACCTATCCGAATTTTCATCGAGCATATAAAGTGGTGGCTGTAACTCCATACCGTTGTGTGGATTTTTATTTAAGGAGGTCATTTACCATCAGAATCAACAAGTCTTAGACTTAGATTTTTGTGAAAACGAACCATAGAAAAAAAAAGAGCAAAAATGCAGAACAGAAGCGGCAACAACAAACACGTCTCACCACTGCAAGCGTGAGTGAAGGAATGAACAAATATTTTCGATATATTATTCAATTCTCTGTTTATATTCAACCAAGGTTAATAATTCATTTCTAACGAAAATGAAACATTGTTTCATATCGAACACGTTTAGTCATTTACTAAACATTCTCATTGAAAAAACTTGTCTATGAAGCAATAGAATGATATTCGATCATAGTCAGAACGTCGAATAGTAGAGTGAATTGTTCTATTTCAAATTGAATAGGACAAATTATTTTTACGTAATACTTATGAAAAAATGTTTTCAGTTAGCTTATTCTATATAATTGTTCTAAGATCCTTATGTATATTTGTCGATCAGGATACAAATTTTTTTCAAACAATTTACCATTTACTTTTGTTATTAAAGTATATTCTATGGTTGATTATGAAATTTCAATTGCTAAAATTTTGGTATAAGAGTTAGCTATTTACAAATTTAAAGTGTGCTTTCTTCGAAACTATTTGAATTTTTAATGATAGATCACAAAAATGAAGAGTATAGTATGTGATGATCGTTAAAAATGATAAATAGTTGTTTCGTTGATCATAGTAATAAAAGCAGTAAATCTATGAATGTACAAAATAATGAAAAGCGTAAAACAGTAATCTAATAGAACTTTTAGAGTTTTTCATTTATTCTGAATAGATTTTTTTAAAAGTATTGTGTAATAAAGAGAAATTGTAAATATCCTATATATTCAAACTGTTAAGATAATTAAATATAAAATCTAATAGTCGATCAAAATGTCCATTTTAACGTTGACAAATAGAAAAAGAAATTAATGTGACTTTCGAAAGTAAACAGCACTGACAAAAATAATAAATTCTTTCTTTTATATTTTTCAATAAATGATACTTTCAAGATAAACTAACAAATTTCTTGTCCATCAGTTGTGACTTCTGAAATGTAAGCGGATATGAAGATGCTTTGCATAAAACTGAAAATAAAATTTTTGAATCATCTCAATCAATAAATTATATGATTTTAATCTATTATATCTGTATTGTTTTAGGTCTTTATCGAAAAATATTGACAAATTTCAATCATTGATGCTTTTTTATTATCTTTTAATTAATTATTGATTTACTCTCAATGAAAAAACGAAAAGTCGACTATTGAAAATATTTCATGTTTTAAATGTTGAATATAAAAAGAAAGAAACAAATAGAAATAAATTTAACTATTTACATATATATTGAGATAAATTAAATAATATGTTCAATAGAAAGCAGTGAGTTTTCATCAATAGAAATTTTGAATCTTAAAGGATGATTTAATGTTTGAGATCGAGAAGAAGGAAAAGATGCTGCATTAGCAAATAAAATTCCATTATCATCTTTCCAAACTCCATAATCTTGATGAATATGACCAAATATTGAAATTAAAGGTTTTATTTTATGTAATCTTAATTCTAAATTTCCTTCTAAATCAATATGTGATCCATTTGGTGAACAAGGTGGATTATGTGTTATAACAATATTTGAATTTGAAGGAATATCCAACCATGTTGATTCACCTGTAGGACGCCATGATGAACCATATATATGAAGATAATTATCAATTATTATTTGTTCATTTTCTAAAAATTTTCCATTATTTAAATATGGAGTTAAAATCGAATCATGATTTCCCCCAATAATTAATTTATGTTTAAATGGAAGTTCACTTAACCATTGATCAAAATCATCAAATGGTTTTGAACCACGAGCAAAATTGGTTATATCTCCAGCATGTATAAGAATATCACCACAATAACTTGATTTTAATCGTTCGGTTAATTGACGATGTTTTTGATGTGTATCACTTATACAAACAACTATCCAACATTTACTTATTAATGACATTTAAAAAACAACAACAAAAAAAAAACAGGAATTTTATTTATTCGTAAAATAGATGAGAAATATTTATTTCAATGAATCATCATTACTCATTAGTCAATATGATTCATCAATGTCGTTTTATTATTTAGTTTGTTTTTAGATTGAAATTTAATCTAACAAAAATATATTATGTTAATGTAAGATGAATTTTATTATAGAAAATAACATATGTAAACAATGTAACTAAGGTTTAATACATGAAGCAGACTTATAATGACATATTGTGCCATTTGGACAACAATGTCGACCATCATCACAACATACACCCTTAAGAACAATAAAAAACAAAACATAATTCAAATAATCAATAATAAAGAAATATAAATAAAACCTTACATGTGAAAAAGTACAACAAGCATAGCTATTCGAATTTGATTGAGAAATTTTGCAACAAGTTTGATCAAATGGACAATATTTATTTGACGATCCACATTTATTTAAACTTTCATTTTTCATTTCTTTTTTCTTAGTTAAATTAAAATTTTTAATACATATTAAATCTGATTTATCACATGAATAACCATTTTGACAACAATCAATCTAAATGATTTATTACAAAAAAAAACCCAAATTCATCTTTTTATTTTTATTTTAACAAACTTTATTTGAACAAC